GACTTGATCCACAGCTTGGTATCCAAAAGTCCTCGAAGTTGAGCCGCGGCCCTGACTAGGTGCTATGAATAAAGGGTTTAGGGTTTAGGGTTTAGGGGCCTTAATAATTAGAATAGGGTTCCTTTAAAGGGTTCTTAGAAGGGTTCATAAGGGTTACCAGAATGGCTACTATAAGGGTTTAGGGTTTAGGAGCCTTAACAATTAGAATGGGGTTTTGGGGGCTCCTTATTATATTTGTAGTATAATGTACCTCCAAACCCGATTCAAGTTGTTAAGACCCCTATCTTTGGAGTCAGTTGCCCTACCTGGGCCCTAAAGAACCCACCGTTTTAGGGATCTTTAGTAAGAGTTCCCTCGATATGTCTGTAGAAAGGTATCTGGGCGCCAAAGAACCTTCTCTGTAAGGCCTAGGTAGAGGCTCTAAGCCGTAAAACTCCTGGACACCGGAAGCCCTACACCGAAAAGAATTAGGATGCCCGATGAGGCCACCGTGTTTGCACATCAGACTTGTTTGGAAGCACCAAAAGCTCCCACCGCTCAACAAAAGCGCACATGACGTGGAATTGCGCCTTAGGAGTTCTTTCTGCTAAGGGTAGATGAACTTCATGCCCTTAGATTAATGAGCAGCCTGCTAGTTCAAGGTCCAGCATTTCCTAAGACTCTCACATCAAGCCTGGGATGAAAGCGGATGTCTGCAGGCAAAGGTTTATCGGTCAGGGGTGGCCGATCTTCTCTCTGCCCACTCCCAACCCCTAAAGCCCAATCCCCAGAAGTGAAACCCTGAACGCTTTTGAGACCTTAAGCTCGGGTTAAGGGTTTAGGGTTTAGTAGTTCATGAAGGCAAGATGCGAACTCCATGCGCGTGCTTCTGGTACCTTTCGTCGTCGTTGACATACCTGGCGAGACACCTTATGAATGATGTCCTCTGCACTCCTCAACATGAAGAACCGTTGGGCCAATTCAATACTCAATACTTCTGTGGTGCTTCCCTCGCTGTTAACCGCGTACCTCAGCAACAATCCTCTTGCAAAACTACCCGGAACATCAACGCCAAAACCCGTAAATCTCAGTTATACAATCAACTGTGTAGAAATTCTAGCAATCCCGATCGGCACGCCTGACAGGTTCGAGGTACAAGGAATGTAAGGCTTGGGTTCTCAGATGTCGAAGTTGTTCGGCGATCAAAGTGTGGCCCCTCGCCTAACACTCGGCACCTCGGGCAGCCAATGAAAGCCGATTCGGAACCGCAACAACAGGGTTGAACTTACATAGGGCTTCTATGACGAAGAAACACAATGGGCTTGCTTTGTTCCCGAAATTGCGGCCCGTGTTGCTCAGCGGAGGCAACAGAGTAGCCGAAATGGGACTCTTCGAAAAGCCTTGCATCAAACACATGCACAGCAGTCTGCTGAGTTTGTTTTGACGAAGCAAATCAAGATACGAAGGCAACGTGCTGATGGTGGTGGTGATGCTGAGACGGAGTTAGACGATATTATGGGAGAAGGTTGATGCAAATGATAGGGATGAGACTGATGATGATGATGAGGTTGATGATGATCGTGACGATGATGATGACTGTAACGGTGATGATGATGATGGTGATGGCAGCAACGTTATGATGGAATCGATGATGATGGTAGCCATGATGATGATGACGGTGGTGATGGTGATGCTGATGATGTCGATGAATGGAAAGTCACAACAAGTGTCGCGGTTCAACATCTTCTGGAGTTGGCATAGCTGCTTATTTCACGAAGTCTCGTCAACCGGGTGCAGATTCAGGATGTCGAGGAACTTTTTGGTATGCCTCAATCCTTGTACAGATGTGTGTCAGGCTAAACTCTGAAGTCTTTTTCTAGGGCATTCGTGCTGTGACGTACCACACCGGCCGATGCGCTTCATAATTACATTGATGGCGCTCACTGGACTCGGGACCTCCCTGCCGCATTGGAAAAATATGATGTCGGTTTGATTTTTTTGGTGGTGGTGATGATGGTGGTGCTGATGGTTCAAATCAAGTCAACTCGACCATGAACATGACGGTAATGCTTGCCGGCGAATGTGCTGGTGTCATGGCGACTCCCCCCTGAGCAGGATGCTCTTCACTGACACCACCAACCCGACTTTCCAAAGCTGAAGCTTCAAACTAAAACGATTGATTGCTTCAGCTCTCCACTTGCCAATGCGCGATGTGAGCCGGATCAAAACAAACACCGGTCCGAATCTAGCATTGAAGCAGCCGCTCGTCTGTCTTTTGCACTTCTTGGCTTGAAGAAAATTGATGCGGGCTCCGTGACTTCGCTGTGCGATCGCGACTGAGATTGCCTGAGGCTTCTGAGTCGTGAACGCGCGCCAGTTGCCCCCGAACCCGAACCCCACTCTGAGTTATACGAAACGGCCACGCCTATGTATGCTCTGCCAAAAATACTCAAACTTATGCCCTATATAAACCTTTATCCAATTCTTCGTCAAGTCCAAAAAAATCAAAAAATTCAAACCCTAGGCCGTAATCACTGGAAACCCCAAACTTAAGTTCGAAGCGTACACTCGACACCCTTCATGGTCAACTGCAAGAATGTGAATGTAAGGGCCTTAGTAATTAGAATCGGGTCCTGGGGGTTCCTTCATATAATAGTAGTATATTTCAATATAATATACCCCCAAGCCCCATTACAATTACTAAGGTCCCTATAGTATGTGTCAAGGTCGGGAGGGCTTCTGGTTGATTCGGGCTCCATACCCACAGAGGCTTCTGGGCACTTCAATCACCCTAAACCCTAAGCCTCAAACCCCAAACCCCAAACCTTAAACCCTGAACCCTAAACCCTAAGACCTAACCACGGTGGAGCTTACGGCTTCCGGACTCAGGGCTTCGGGCTTTTGAGCTTTCGTTGAAGCGAGGGTCGAAGGATTCTGGTTTAGGGTTTAGGGTCTAAGGCTTGTAAAGGACGAAAACTTCATGTTCAAATACTTTAGCAGAGCAGTAGGAGGACTTGAACTCAACAGGTCAGGGTTGGTTACGACTGCCTTTGAAGTTGCAAGAATTATAGTGTAGTGGACCCCACCAATTCAAATTATCAAGGCCCCTATATTACTTGACTAGTGACTTGTATATACCTAACCCCCCCCTAATAATGACCCACTAGTCCTGTAGCCAATCCTCCAGTGTTAGCCTCCACAGATTCTGGCGTCATAGCTGCTTCTGCAATCGTATTACTACAACGATTCTGTAAGGCAACTCTAGAGGCAAGCGGATACGAACCGAAGCTGCAATCCGTTTGAGTGCGAGTGTTGGATCAGTAAGCTTAGATAGCACCGCACCTTCAGCGACATCAAAAGTCAGCGGCATCATACCCATTCGACCTGCACCCAAAGTGAGAAATACTTAGTTTGTGCTTTCAGAACAGAGCAGAACTCGAGTCAACGACTGAGCCGACTATGCTATTCTCCGGCGGTTGAATCGAGTCATGGATGTAGGATCTCGTAGAACTCAGATCAATAGTCTTTCCAGCACTGCCCGATGTCAATCCCGGTCTCCCTGAACAAATCACAGCCAAAGTCTTTCCTTCAACCTGGTTTTGCTAGGTGAAGAAGCCAGGCTACCCAAAACACCCGCCAAAAAGGCCCTATACACCCTAACTCTAAACCCTACACCCAGAACCCCGAAGCCAAGGCGCGTGTCTAGTCTTCTAACCTTCACTTCGGGCTTGCATTTGTCATTGTTGATGTGACAATTCCAGACCTCGGCAGGCGTTTTCTTTGGGGGGGCGGGGGGTTCATTCGAAGGGCTTCTAGGGCGTTGTTAGGGGGTTTTATAGGGGCTTCAAGGGTTTGCGGGGCTTTCCAAACCTCGGGAGTCGTCATGAGGGGGTTCAAGGCTTACGAGTGTTTTAAGGCTTATGGGGCTAAGACGGTCTAAAGGGCTCATAGGATTTATGGGGCTTGTAGGCTTTGTCATGGGTGTATTATGAAAAAAAATCGAAGGATACCTAAGCGAAGGATCCAGTGGCTCCGAGGTGGTACTGCGAGTTTGAAGTTGGAACGTTGGTTTTCGGTGGTACTGCCCCCACACAGTAGCAGTCTACAATAGGGCTACTGTCAAGGGCTTTTCAAATTTGTATGAAAGACTATAAACGATTTCTGAGCGGGGGCAGTATCCATCTTCTGGTTCTATACAACAACAACGTACCGACTACTACTACTGCTATTGGGTATGGGACCCGCAATGCGACTACCCTCATCTGAAAGCCAGCGCATCCCTCTGTGCTACACGCTGCTTAGTCAAATATTGAGGCGACACCCGAATTTGGACCTGCACCTCACTTCCGAATACTGTAGGGGGCTTAATAATTAGAATAGGGTTTTGGATGGCTTCGGGGATATTATACTATAACAATAATAAGGAACCCCCAAAATGGTATCGGTAATTACCAAGGCCCCTATATCATGCAAGTCTCAATGCCTGAACGCTGAGATTCTCCGGGAACCTTTCGCCCCATGTGGGAGATTCCACATGCTGTCATGAGGCCAAATTTAGGGTTTAGGGATTATACGGTTTAGGGTTGCTGTTGCTAGCAAGCTGCAAAGGAAACTTCGATGGCAGCACCAAGCATCGAAATCTCCTGGCAGGAAGAGGGGCGGGCCTTGCACAGGACAACTCCACAGTCTCTTCTGTCCTTCACTTCACTTCGAACTGCCAAGCCCAAAAGTTAGTAATTACGGAATCTACCTGGCTACTTTTCAAAACCCCAAACCCTAAATCTAAACCCCAGACCGATAGAACTCGCAAGGCCGCAGTTGTTCTTGCAAACTGCTACGCCCACGGGCCCTAAGCCCGCTGACCCTCAAACTCAAGCCCTCGTAAGCTTCGGGCTGAACTGGGGAGTATAAAAATAATACAAATAGAAGTATAAATACACATATAAATACATGTATATATATATATATATATAGACATACAGGTATATAGAAAGTTGATGTATATCAGTTGTAGGTCGATAAGTAGATAGGTAGATGTGTAGATATGTAGATCTTGCTTATGTATACTACATATCCACGACACTTTTCAACACTGCATATCTGCATGCATGGTATACCGGTGTAATGTGTTTTTTGTCAGATCTTCTTCTCCTGTAGAATAGGATTTAGGGTTTGGGGGGTTCCTTCGCATGCAGTATAATAGGATTTATGGCTTCTTTTCCCTAACTGTTCCAGGTGTTCCATGGGGCTACTGTAGGGGCCTTAATAATTAGAACAAGGCTTTGGGGCCCATTATACTACAACTATACTAAGGAACCCCCAAAATAGAATTGGTAATTTTTAGGCCCCTATATTCACCGCAACATACGGAAGATTCCACACCTCCCCACCCAAGCTTTGCGTTTGGGGCCATGATCCCTAAACCCCTAAACCCTAAAACCCTAAACCCTTAACCGAACGCGAAATCCATTCCTCCCTCGCCCCTCTCAGGGGTCGAGACAGCGCCCTAGTCAAAGGATGTATGTCAGGTATCGTCAGATTTGGGGGGGCTTCGGGCCGACTCTCAACGGCCCTGAACCCCGAACCTCGAAGCGCACAGGCGTTGGCTCACAAAGCAGCAGAAGCTCGCGAACTGTGAACCTTACCATAGGCTTACTATAGGCTCCTCAGTCGCTACAATGAGGTGTTGGGGGGGTATATTCTAACGTCGCTAAATCAGTGTCAAACACAGGAGCCTTCCTGATTAGAATGATGAGAATGGAGGTCCTGGGTTTCTTTTACTACAGTCATATCAGGGTTTAGGGCTAGTTGCTACTCGTAGTAGACAGCTTTCAAGCAAAGCCCTTCGCCCGGCTGGATATTCCGATGTCCATGTTTCCTGGGTCGAGCGGTTCTGGCGTCATCTCCTTGTCGAGTTTCTTGGGTTTAGAGTCTTGCAGTTGACACAGTGGGGTTTAGGGTTTAGGATTGAGTTTCTTGGGTTTCGGGTGGTGCGTCCTGTTGCCCGACTCACATTGCCGAGTCGAGTTGCATGGCTGTGGCAGGTTGCTGACACGATGCATCGTACATGTGAAACTCCGCAAACTCAGACACAAGCCGCAAACCAGAATTCCTGTGCCCTACATTGCGTCAAGGTATGTGACAACAAGATTGAAATCGTACCTTGTATACCCTCCTGCAAAAGTGGCCCAGGCACAAATTGTAGCCCGGCTCAGGATAGGCATGATCCTTCTCCGTCGACCAGATTTTGTCCGGAGCCATGCCGTTGAACCTTGTAGCACGAGTAAATGCACAGACGAGCCTGAAGGCAATGTGGATAACAAGTCCAGCATCATCCTCATCACCATCATCACCACCACCATCATCATCACCACCATCACCATCACCATCACCATCACCATCATCATCAAAACGGTTGCCATTACCAAAAACAAAATCATCGTCACAACAATCATGGTCGATGCTTTCCTGCTCCTCGTTGTCGTCCCCTCTCCTCCTCATCATCCTCATCCTTCTCATCACCACGATCCATTCTGCTGTCGAGCCGGTGCACAATTAAAACACAAAGTTACCATCAGTACTTGCATGCACATCTGTCTAAACAATGTACATATACATGTGTAGACAGCAAGATAGATAGACAAATAGATATGGCTAGGTAGGTAGGTAGGTAGGTAGGTAGGTAGGTAGGTAGGTGGGTAGGTAGGTAGGTAGGTGAGGAGGGAGGTGAGGAGGGAGGGAGGGAGGGAGGGAGGGAGGTAGGTAGGTAGGTAGGTATCCCAACCACACATGCATACATATATTTTTATACCTGCCTTCTTACCTATTGACCGAGTGACATGCTTACCTACTTACGTATTTCATTCCGGCCCCTTCCTGTCTTACGTACTGACTGACTTTCTGACTTCCTAACTTACTCACTTTCCGACTGACTTGCTTACTTCACTTCCCTGGGTTTGACTCCACGACTGTACATCCCTACATACTTACATGCATAATACATACATACATAATGCATGCATACATACAAACAATACATACATACATACATACATACATACATACAGACATACAGACTTACAGATCTACAGACATACATACACACATACATACATACATACATACATACATACAGACAAACATACATACATGCATACATACATGCTTACATACTGAAATACTTACATCCATACATACATGCATACATACATGCATACATACATAAATGCATACATACAGAAATACACACATACATACATACATACATACATACATACATGCATACATACATACATACATACATACATACATACATACATACATACTTAATACTTACTTACATACGTGCATGCATACACTTACATGCTTGCGTACTTACATACTTGCATGCGTAGATGTGTAGTCCCTGACCCACTCACCACAGGCGAACACACAGGTATAGACTGTCTATTCAAACACTCACAATAATATCAAAACCGACATCCACAACCTGCAGTCCTGAAATTGCGGGCCGAGGCACTGGATGGCGCTTTTCACCCAGATTGCCAGTTCGGCCGAAGCGTCCAACTTATAAGATTCCTGGGCCAGCAGCTCTAAATTTTTTAACCTTGAACTGAAACACGACCGAAGCGAACTCCAAACAAATTTCGCTGCGATACCCCGAGGCTCGGAGCTGAACAAGAGCTGCATCGTTGAAACTGCACTGTCGCCCACGAAATGGCCCGTTTCGGGGTTTGAGGTTTACGGTCTCGTATGGGGTTGTCTTACAATTTCGAACCGGGGCGCTGTGACCTTCGCTTTTTGTTCAGGCTTGATGACTTCGACGTAGGGAAACACGAGAGTTACACGCTGGCAAATCATAATTCTGACTCCTGTGCCTAGTAGTCTTCTGACTGCTACTGCCACCATTACCAAGCTGATCGTTCCTATAGCACTGCTGCCACTGGGCTGTCACTATCACTGCTGCAAGTAGTAACTATCATTGCTCATGTCCTCACACAAACGATGGACACATTGCGGCGCAGCAACAGTTGCCGTCGTTGTGGTGGTAGTAATTAGTAGT